CTAATGACTCCACTAGATGTAACCTATTCTTGGCAATGGAGGTTTTCCTTGATGGTATAAGATATATAGTTGGGTCATTTTCTCCCCTAGTATTTGGTGTCTCAATTTAGATTTCTTTCATGTATGTGTATATTTTAGAAAGCTTTTACAGTAGTAGGTTTCCATATGGTTTTCTATATGGCCATTGGTATTGTCCCTCTCTGTATTTCCTTCTTTACCCTTCTCTTCCAGTCCCCTCCCTATTTAATCCTCTTGTTCCAGTTTTTCCCCTATCTCTTTATAATCATATACTCTATTTCCTCATCCTTGGGTCGTCCTCTCCGCACTCCTATCCTTTACTAGGTCCCTAACCTCTGAGGGTCTGTGGATTGTAGCACACATACCTAAGGCTTAAATGCTAACATCCACACAGAAGAGAAAGTGTGCAATGAGTCTGGGTTGCCTCACTCAGGATGATTGCTTCCAGATCTTTCCACTTACTTACGAATTTCATAATTTCACTTTTCTTAAGAGCTGAATAATATTCCATTGTGTAAATGTACCACATTTTCATCATCCAAGTTGTTCCCAGTTTCTGGCTATTATGAATTAAGCAGCAAGGAGCACAGATGAGCAAGATGGAAAGTCCTATGAGTGTATGCCCAAGGGTGATATAGCCGGATCTTGAAGTAGATCTGTTCCCCGCTTCCTGAGGAGCGGCCCCACCAATTTCCATAGTGACTGTAAAAACTTGTACTCCACCAACAATGAATAAGTGTTCCTCTTTCCCTGAATCCTTGCCAGCACATGCTGTCATTTGTTTTATTGATCTTGGCCAGGCTGGATGCTGTAAGATATTTCAAAGTAGTTCTAATTTTCACTGCCCTGATGGCTAAGGCTGTTGAACAGTTATGTGCTTTTCAGCCATTTGGGTTTCACCTTTTGAGAACTCTCTATTGAGTTCTCTGCTCCATTTTTTAATCGGGGTATTTATTTTCTGGATATTATTTGGGGTATTTATTTTCTTATGTTCAGTTCCTTTAGTCCTTTATGTATTTTAGACATTAACCCTCAATCAGATGTGTACTTTGTATAGCTCTTTCCCCATTCTGTAAGCTCCTGTTTCGCAGAAACAACAGTGTCTGTATAGCTTTTCTCTACAGAAGCTTTTTAGCTTGACAAGGTCTCACTTGTTACTTGTTTTTCTTAGTGTCTGTGCTGTCTGTCAGCTTCTTGTTCAGAAAGTTCTTTCCTGCTCCAGTGAGTTCAAGGCTGGTCTCCACTTTTTCCTCTATCAGATTCTGAGTACTTGGTCTTATGCTGAGGTCTTTGATCCATTTGGAATGGAAATTTGTGCAGGGTGATGAATATGGATCTATTTGCATTCTTTCTACAAGCAGCCATTCAGTTTGACAGGCACCATTTGCTGAAGATGCCGTCTTATCTCCAGTGTGTATTTTTGGCTTCTTTGTCAAAAACTAACTCTCTGTGGGTATATGGAATCGTATCCAGGTCTTCAATTTTATTCCATTGATCAGTGTGTCTGTGTTTATGCCAATACCATGCTTTTTTAATTACTATATCTCTATAATACAACTTGAAATCTGGGATGGTGATACCTTCAGCAATTCTCTTATTTTTTTAGGTAGTCTTTTTCTATCCTGAGTGTTTTGTGTTCCTATACAAGGTTTAATTTTTTTCAACTTCTGTGAAAAAATATGTTGAAAATTTTGGAAGGAATTGTATTGCATCTATAGATTGATTTTGATGGAATGGCCATTTTCACAATATTAACCCTGCCAATCCATGAGCATGGGAGATCTTCATATCTTCTGGTATTGTCTTCAATTTCTCCCTTCAACATCTTTTTTTTTTTTTTTTTT